CTTGAAAATTTGCCCCATTTTGGTGGTTTTGGCTGCTTTTCTGAGACTTCTGTTGTGATTGTATGAAGTCTAACGCAATAATCAAAATTGCATTTTACTAGTTCTTAGCTTTTTGCAGGGAGGAGATGGCACAAAATCTTCTTAGGGAAGGGCCTTCTAATCTTAAATCTCTCAGTAACACTGATCTTCTTCACTTAGTTGATTTGTTAATATTGGATAAGAAATGGGTGGCAGAACTCCCCTCTCAAACTTTGCCTTTCAGGATTACAGGGGCTGCAAAGAAGTGTTCTGCTTTGGGTGATTTTCACGCTGCAAATGAACTAAGTTCTATCTTTTCGCGCACTCCATCATCACATGCCAGGTTTCAGCCAGAATGTGATGGAGAGAAAAAGTTTAATAATGTACCGCAGTCCAGCGTTTCTGCTACAACCAACAATATGAAATCTTCAGAACAGTCTAGAAGTGAGACATTAGCTGACTGTAGAAAACTTGTGAGGGAAATACTGAAGAAGTATCCACAGGGATATAATGTGAAATCCTTCAAAAAACTGTTCCTTGAGAAGTATGGTTATTCTTTTGATGAACAAACTCTTGGTTATAGAAAATTGACTACCCTGTTGGAGATGATGCCTGGGGTAAAAATAGAGTCAAATTACATATTTCCTTCCAATGTGGCTCCAAATGACTCAGGCCTGGAAACTGCCTTTCTTAACATTCAAGAAAGTAATGTCAGTCGTGCATTAGGGAACTCAGAAGATGCAACACCTGACGTACTGAAGAGCGTGAACCTATCATGCAGGACAAGGAAGAAGAGTGATTATTCTGACTCTTTATGGGCAGAACTGGGGCCTGTTTCGAACACAAGTTCTAACCACAAGGAACTGCAATCAGTGTGTAGGAGTAAAACAACTGAAGAAAACAAGAGACACACATATCCTGAGTATGAGCCTTGTCTTTCAGATGATGAACTTTCAGATTCAGAAGGTGAAACCTCAACTTCAGAACAAGCAAAAGGTCAAGGGAAACCAGAGATAAATGATGAAGGGAGCTCATTGATCCAAATCCTTGATTCATGGTATGGTAGCCATAAAGGTGCAGACAGAATGAACACAATAGAGAAAGATGAGGAAATGATTGATTGTTCTAGAAATGATGCAAAGCCAAATGATACATCTGAATTGGATTCAAAGCTTGAAAGATTGATAGAGAACCAAAGAAGAAAGCATGGACAACAAAAGAGCTACAATTTTGTTGCAAACCAAGTTGAGGACAGGGATTCTAAGCTAGTTGATGACATATTGGGTGGTTTTAAGAAATCGAGTGAGTCAAGGATCCAGAGCTGATGAGTAGATAGGAGTAAAGAAAAGGGGTAAACAATCTAGATTAATTATTCTTAATTTTTCCCATTAACTTTTAATAGCAAATGGTGGGGTAAGCAGTTATGCCTTTACATCAATGCTTTCTGCTGAGTTTATACTTTATAGTGCAGACTGCAAAGAATAAGCTTTTGAAAATGAGGCGCACATCATTGTACCAAATATTCTCCTTGTTGCATGGAAATCACTACTGCTGAGTGCTGATATTATTTTTTCTCCAACAAATCATCTGTGCCAATTAGCTGTCATTTGCACATGCAAGTTTCAGCATTCTGTTGCTGTGGCAGTACATTATCAACAAGGCACTTGGAATTTCATCTCTTTATTTATGTACTCCAGAATTTGCATCTTAAAAGCGCATGCTCCAGTTAAGCACTCATGCTTTGGGTATTGCATTCTCTATTCTCTAGATTCAGGTTCTCTGGTAAAAAAATGATGCATTCTATAATTACCAAGCCTTTTTTACTTTCTTTAACCCTTTTATTTTTTTCAAGAAAAAAAAAAAATTCCCTTCCACATTTTAGGCATTGTGGGGCCAATGCTTCCAGAAAAGCTCTCACCGTTCCTCCGGCCCACCAACTCCAATAGATTAAGTGGTTATCTATCACATTCCCCCGGCACAGCTAGCCTAGAAAGCCCGGCATCCTTCGGCCCCCCACTCCACTAGCCCAACAGCATTTCGTAATAATAAAATTTTGCAGCCTTTTTTGAATATTTGAACTCAATTTATAATTATGGGGTGTACTTATATGTCCCTTAAATATTATAATTTTTGTTATACAAATTAAAACAAACTTAAACGTACTAGAAAATACGTACTTAAGTTCATCCATAAAATACAACATGGAACCTCAAACATACAAGGAAATATATGAATTCATACCATAACAAAACATATGAACTATTATAAGTCTATACATATAATAAAAGATATTAGTTTATACAAACACAAGTCCATATAAATATGGAAATTTGAATTGTTATATAATTCACGGATACAAATATGGATCCTAATACCTAGCACTAACTGGGACTGGCAGGTATGCGTTTTCATACCTAATATTTAACCGTTTCTTTTCAAAGTTAAAATACAAGTAAAATACCTATTCAGACAAATCCAATACGCATAAATATCAGACAAATCCAATACCCATAAATATCAGACATATTCATACCCTACACTCACCCGTGGTCCAAGGACGTGAGTATCCAAGCAAGTCACGGGTCAAATATGTTCAATTAAAAAGGTTCACAAAAACAAAACTACCTACCCATAACTCCACCTCTGGTTGAGAGGTTGGCTGGATTTTGCCATCTATTTCCTTTGTTAAATGGCCAGAAAAAAGAATAGCTTTCATTTCTATAGGAACTTGGTGACTAATTTTTTTTTTTTTTTCAGAGAGAGTAACGATATCATGAGTAACTTTGCAAAGCCCATTCCCTCCCATTGTCTCTTCCAAAGAAAGGAAAAGACTATTTGCATCCAAAAACTTGTGACCTACTGAGTGCTGATAAAAGAAGAAAGTTGAAGACTATTATTCCAAAATGAGCAGATTTTTAGTTATTACCCAAAGAAAAAATTGGAGAAAAAGTATTTCCCTTGAATAAAAACAAAAGTAATAATTATAAAAGGGGTTAAGCCCCATAAAGCCATTTGTTTTGAAAGAGTGATTGGTGATGGTCTATTCCCAAATTCTCATTCACCAATCACCAGTGCCTCCCTTGAGAACCACCAGCTTTGTTCTTTGGAAAGAAGGCATTTTTGGCCTTGGCTTTTGGTAGCTCGTGAATATCCATCACTTGTATCGTTCTTTGCTTTTTGGCTTCAAGAAGCAAACACACAAACCAGACAGTTCTGATTAGAATAACCCCAGATGAGAAATGCAGAAATCAAGTAATTATAAGGGAAAAATCAAACCATTTTCAGCTTCCTTGTAATTTTCTTGTAGCCTCTTTCTTGCTGAAGCTAGCTTTTCCAAGTCAAAACTGCCGTCCTTTTGTTCTCTTTGTCTCTGCCAAATCAAAAAGAATAAGAATACTTGATGCAATAAATAAGAATATTCTACTTTAACCCTGCAAATCAAGCTTTTCACATGGTATATTTCAGCTTATCATGCATATCTTTGAGAAAGCATATAGCTTCAATATTTTATAATCTGAGCTCCACTGCCACATTTAACCAATCATAAGATTTATTTCATTGAAGCATATGCTTCAAAATTGCATATCAAAACTCCATTAGCATGCACTTGTACCTGCACATTTTGTGGAACAGGAGGAGTTGTGCGAGCAGGTTTAGGTGGAGCTTCTTTTCGAGGAGGGATTAGTTTCTGTTTCCTTTCAGGTTCTGAATGATTCTTGTCCGAGCCAGAACTCCCATCTGTGAATTGTTATCCCAAAAGCAAAGAAAAGGATGGCTGATTAATCAAATGCAACACAAGAAAGAAATAAACAAATACCAAGGACCAGCTTTGAATCAGATTCTCTACTCACTGTGTGGATTTGGAGAGTATGCAAAATCAGGAACCTGCAAAAGAATGGAATCTTAGAGAGAAAATAAAAGAAAGAATTTTCATTTACTTTCTGAGAAAAGAAGCAATGAGTTGGAGCTGGAACAAAAGGTTTCTTTCACCTGGTGATGACCATTTTGGGGAAACTTTTGCTGTGGTGAGTCTCCATCAGCTGCCAAGACATCATTAATTTTCATTTTCGACATAATCCCATGATAATCTCAATCTCACTTTCAAAAGAAATTTCCCAGAAAAAGAAAGTGAAAACTTTGATGTTACCCATAAGTGCAGACGACACAAGCTCTCCTGGTTGATTCAGCCTCACCCATTCATCCACAATCTCTTTCCATTTCCTGAAAAACAAACAAAAAAATCAATGAGTGTAAGTGAAAACAGGACATCTTTACATATATTCTACAGTTTTTAGCCTTCAAAACCTGACAAGCTGCTTCACTAATCTCCTAACTTCATTTGACGAATGCTTCCTCAATTTGTTGACATGTCTCCCAATATCAGTCTCCTGCAAATAGAATCATAAAATGAGAATTCTCAAGAACAGAGTCTGATGAACTGAGAAAATCAGAAAGAAAATAATACTTGTTTGTATAAATATCACCTTCAAAGCTTTGAATGTTATGTCCATATCAGCCAAATTTTGAAGCAAATGAACCAGAGAATCTTCAGACTAGAAATGGAGATACATACCCCACATCAAACAAGACTACACAAACCAAAACAAACCCAAAAAAGGAAACAACCATTAATTCAAAAAGACCTGATCAGAATCTTCAAGACACTCCTTAATCTCGAGGATCCTCTTTTGTTCATCATCAAACAAGCCTCCGTATGGATCGAATTCATCATCATTCCCATCAACCGAATGCGGCGTGGATGGCGACCGTCCTCCGCCGCTGCCGCCTTCCTTACCTCCCTCATGGCTACTTTCTCTCTTAAACTCGGCTTTAACTTCATGTCCGTTGGGTCTCTCATCAAAATCGCAGTTCCTACACCGCGTAGCCATGGACGTGGCATAAAGCCTCTGCACAATTCCATCTCTCCGTTGCTTCAACTCCTGCCCATAATCCATGGACGCCACAACGATTGCCGTGTCGATGAAGGTCCACACGTCGACCCCAGCTGTTTCAAGAACCGATCGGAAATCGTCTAAATCCATGAAAACCGACATAAGCCAAGAACAAAAAGCTTTCCTTGACGACGTTAAAAAGGGAGTCCGAAAAGTATCCCAATGGAGTGATCCTCAGAAGTCAGAACCGATGAAACGGGTCAAATCAAGATCGGGTATCCAAAACAAAGCAGATTCCCCGCCGCTTGCACATCACCAGATCTAAACCCATATCACGAACGTCACGCACGATCCGTACAGGAAAAAGTTCCAGCGATTGAGCAAACCAACACCTGCTAACAGCAATATGACCCTCAAAAACACACAGATCTAATTTTGACCCCAAGGAGCTCAAAGACTGAATCTTTTCTCCCAAGAAATCACACCCAGAAGCTCAAAAAAGCTAGGAAACAATCTTAGAGTCAACTCTGAGATGGGTTTTTGGCTAATTCCTCCTAAAGATTTGTATCATGAACAAAATCATGGTTTTTTGCGATAACTGGGGACAAACGATGGGATATTCCACCATTGGGGGATTTAATTCTATTCCCTTCCCCTTTGTTATAATTTTTATTTTTTATTTTTTAAATTGCTGATGGGAGTTGAGGAGAAGACGCAGGGTGATTTAACGAGAGACTATTTTGTGATAAAAAAAAAATTTAAAATTACGAAAATTTTAAGTTTGATTACACGATATATTTTTTTACTACCTTTTTATATTTTAAAATAAAGATGATGTTATAGTAATAATTTTTATTTTATTAAAGTAAAAAATCAACATCAAAGTAGGTTTT